TCTCTTGCAGTTTCAGTATATTCAAGCCATATTAGTTATTCCTAGTCAATGCCCTGTTTGTGTTTATAGGAACTGTACAACAGTGATTAAAAACAAAATTTCCAATTTGCATATTAATTTTTATTCCTTAGTATTTGGGAGGAGGGTGCTTTGTTTCTAATAGCACTAGGAACTTACGTAATCTTGGTATTAAATAGTGAGAGTCAGCTTTTCTTTTACTAAGAACTTGTTCTGTAGCAGCTCAGTGTAATTTGTGCCCAATTTATACAGCTTTCACAATGCGAAATAAAGAATCTTTTCTTGGATTCTGTGTTTATATTTAATACTGATTTTATGGGATTACTGCAGCAAGTACCAAATGCTGTATGAGAAAAAAAAAACAATGCCCCAAGCAGAGAGAGACCCCTAATTGCATGTGACTATATCGGTACTTCTTGTGGATGTTAGCTTTCAGGAACATTAAGGAGAAGGAAGAGAAAACAAATAGAACATACTTTGGGTTTTAGGGAAAAGAAGACAAGTAGAGCACAGCTGATTTTGGTTTAAAAAAGGCCATCTAGAAATTGTCATGTTTTACTACAAATATTTAACACTGAAGTTATCTGTAATAATGACTCCTCGTAGTTGTTTTCAGTCATCAGCCCTATATATTTATATTTTCTTGTTTTCCTTCACTCATGTCATCTATCATCCATACTTGAATGAAACACCATTGTGTATATTTCATATGGAAAGTTAAGACGTAAAGGGTTTTTTATAAGCCACTTAAAACTATTGTACTAGAGCTCTTTCCTTTTATCTGTAGCAAAGTGAAATGAATTAGAATGCTGGAAACTGGAAGAAAATCAAAGCTGTTAGTTATTAATTTAAAGCCATGGAAGTAATACTTTTTGATGCCCTTTTTTTTCAGATTCTGGCTATAAATTCTGTAATAAAACACAGTGACCAAAATGCATTTTTGGTAATTTTCTCTTGTATCTAGACTGAAAAATACGAACATCCTTTTAAAGAAGACTGTCAGACATGAGGAGAAACAGTGAAGAAGGTGTTTGAAAAATATTGAAAAATCTTAACCAAACCCTCGTAATAATAATAATAATCTTGATGTAGCTATAGCCTTCAGTGTAACAATGTTTTTAAAAATGCTTTTAAGTATGCAAATACATATAAGGGAATCTGGAAAATTCAGTAACAAATCACTTAGAATATGAAACAGATGTAAAATGACAGCAGAAATACTAACAAGATACTGTAACTTTCAGGACATTTATAAGCCTGAGGAATTAAATAATGAATGTTAGTCAAATAGACACTGTGAAGAAATTACAAGTACGAGAACAGGGAAAAAAAGAACCTGAAAAATACATCTACAGTGGATGTAACTGCAGAATCTGAAGTGGCTGGTGGTGAAACAATGAGAATGAAATTGTACTCATACTGTTTCACCCCACTGAATGGCAAGTTATTAAAAGTGCAAAGTAACAGAACTTTTGGCAGAATTTAGCAAGATTGTAAATATCACTGGATCTGCTAAACATTGTTGGTTTCTATGTACTCCAAGAACCAACTCGTCACAAGAATTGTGAAAAGAAAACTAAGTGCCTGAGAGGGGAATTAGAAAAGTCCTTTAAAAAGGCTATGACTGAAGTGGAG